TTGGAAGAGCAGAGAGAGCCCTTGTTGGGGAGGAACAGGCAGGGGGCCCCAGGCGGCCTTTCTGCTTGTCCGCAGAGGCTTCTGGGAAGGCGGGGACGCACTCTGGTCCTGGTAGTCGACTCTCCAGGGGTCAGAGCCGAGACCTGATGGGCTGGGACAACCTGCTGGCCTCCCATACCCTCCAAGCCAGGAGCTGCCTCAGCAGAGTTTGCAGCCAGGATACAGCACTTGTCCCCTGATTTGATGCCCAGAACATCGCGTGGGCCCCCGGGGAGCTGGGTCTCACAGCAATGAGCCAGGCAGATCAAGGATGTGGGTGCTCCCCGTCTGTGTAATCGGTGAGGGTGCAGGATGCAGCCCCCACCAAATGGGGGGGCATGGTGCCCGCGAATGGCAGGACCCTCATGTCTTCCCTGCGACTTATTTATAGCCTCGCTGTGGTAATTTGCGGCAATCACAGTATTTATCCTGTAATCAGACAGCACGCAGGCTCCCCAGTGCAAATAGGCACCCAGCCCAGCGAGGCCCGGAGCCTGCCAGGGCTCAGGGAGGACTTGGGGACAGGCAGGAGAGTGTGGGGGCGGCAATGTCCCCATCAGCCTCTGGCCCCATCTTTTTTATTTATTTTTTAAATATGCTTTTATTGCTTTTAGAGAGGGAGGAAGGGAGAGCGGGAAGAGAAAAATATTGATGAGAGACACATGGATTGGCTGCCTCCTACATACCCCCTACTGGGGATTGAGCCCAAAACCTGGGCAGGTGCCCTGACCTGGAATTGAGCCAGCAACCTCTCAGTGAATGAGATAACGCTCAACCAACGGAGCCATACCAGCCAGGGTTGGCCCTATCTTATCAGCTGTAATCCTAAGCCTCCCAATGCACCCTGGATGATAATCGTAATAATAATGATAATAATAATCATCACTTACATAGCATTTACTATGTTCCAGTTCCCATTCTAAGCCTTTTCTGTACATGAACTCGCTTATCCTCATCACCATTCTAGGAGGTCACTGCCATGATTATCCACATTTTCCAGATGAGAAAACCGAGGTGCAGATAACACAGCTGGTAAGAGCCAAGATTTGAACTCAGGTGTTCTGGCTCCAAAGTCCATGGTTTCCAAAGGGTCCTTCCCAGGCCCAGATCAGGGCCCTCCCAGGCTCCACACCCACGGACTCAGCCCTGCCGGCTCCTGGCTTCTCCCGGGCCACCTGCCCTTCAGCCGCACATGAGGCTGCACACACAAAGCCACACCTGGCTTCCCTCTTTCTGTTGCTGGTGAACTGGTCCCCCAGGGCAAACTGGGCTCCCATCTCTGGGGTGTCACTTATGGGTTTGTGCTCCGATTTCTTCTGCAGAGTGAGGATTTTCGTGTCCACCTCCCCCAGAAGCCGTGGATGTCAGATGGAGGAGGGAACACTTTGTCAAGCATTGTCCTCTGTTGAGTGTGGGGCACTCTTAGCTGGGTTCACGTGCCAGCTCGCTCAGTCTTCTCAGTTGTGTGGCCAGGGGTGAATGACTTAGGTTGCTTGAGCCTCAGTTTTCTCATCTGTAAAATGGGGTAATAACAGGACCAAAACCCAAGGTTACTGGTGGGGACGAACGAGATGATCCCTGTACAGCACACAGTGCCTGGGACATCCGTCCTCGGTAAAACAGAACCATCTACTGCTGTTGTTTATTTTGACGCTGTCCCGAGGGCAGGGCCCAGGTGTCCTCTGGCCAGGTCCAGGGCAAGGTATAGGATGTTAGAACTAAGGCAGGAGAGTCGGAGCCCCTGGAAGGAGCATTAGGAAGTGCTGGGCAGAGCCAGGCCTCAGGACAAGTTTTTCCTCTTCCTCCTCCACGCCAGAGCCCTCCATCATTTACAAAATGATTTCCTGTCTGTGTGGGCAGCAGCTCTGAGCTCATAAAGCAGTTACCCTTAGACCAGGGTTGTGTCTGCGAGGACAGACGATTGCAAAAATGCACTTCCCTGCTGAGCAAAGCTTCTCGTTTGGAATTCCTGGCAGATGCACCCTCCCCTGGGGCCAGCAGTGTCTGAGGAGATGATGACACAGACACACGTTGGCTGTTGGCCGGCCGGGGCTCCCACCCACACCAACCCACCTGCCAGGGTTGCCCGCAAAGCCCCTGGGAAGGACCCTCCCCAGTGTGCTTCCTGGGAGGGTGCAGCAGGCTCTCGCGGGGGTGGGGGGAAAGTGAGAAGAAGGAAAGGGCCATCCTTGCCTAGAACCAGCTGCCTTAAGAGATGAGCTCCCTGTCATTGAAGGCAAGCAAGTGGTTCACAGTCTAGCTGCGAGGCTCAGCCACACAGAGAAAGTAGTACCCGTCTCAAGGGGAGAGGGGCCAGCTGGACGGAAGGAAGGACTCCTCACTTTCTCGTGGTGGCCGCATCATTGTAGGCAGCGAGGGGGCTGCCGGAGGTCTTTGAGGTCTCTCTGCACCTGAGAGTCCAGAGCAGTGATATTCAGGCATTAGATCAGGGGTCAGCCAGCTTTCCTTTAAAGGGCCAGACAGTAAATATTTGAGGCTTTGCGGGCTGTCAAGTCTCTGTGGCACATAAGCAGCCACAGATAATACGCAGATGAATGGGCATGGCTGTGTTCCAATAAAACTTTATTTATAAACACCGGCAATGGGCCAGATTTGGCCCAGGAGTGTAGTGTCTGTGTTGGAGGAAAGAGAGAGCAGGGAGGGTTGGCTGCCAAGAAGCACTTCCTGAAGGTGGGGGCGTTGAGCCAGGCAACTGAGGGGGGTGAGGAGAACATTTCTGGCAGCGCTGGCTTCCCCCATAGCTCGAGGGGAAGAGTGGCCATGAGTGTGACTCCCAATGCTGCCTCTCTGAGGAGCCATCTTCCCCTGCATGAGGTTCCCATAATTCAAGGCCTCTGACAGCTTCAAACATAATTAGTTTTTTAAAATCCAGCAACTGTGGTCCATTAAAAAAAATAAAAAAATATATATTTTTTAAATTGATTTCAGAGAGGAAGGGAGAGAGAGAGAGAAATATCAATGATGAGAGCGAATCCTTGATCGGCTGCCTCCTGCGTGCCCCACCCTGGGAATGGAGCTCACAACCCGGGCATGTGCCCCGACTGGGAATTGAACCATGACCTCCTGGTTCAACCACTGAGCCACGCTGGCCGGGCTGTGGTTGTTTTCAGAAGGATGCTCGGCCCACATTTCTGTCTAATACAGGAAGCGGAAGCCATCGGACGCCCCTTACACTGTTGCTGTTGCTGTTAGTGAAGGAAAGAGCAGGGTAGCTCCTTTCTAGGGTGGCCCTGCTGGCCCTGGGACGGCACCGTGACCCGGCCTCATCCTGCCGGGCTTCCGCTTGATAGGAGGAGAAGGGGTTTCACGTGGTGTTTGGTTCGGAGGCCGGGGCTGAGCAGAGTGACGCCCTAGCTCCGATGCTATCGCTCCACGGCCTGTGGGCCCACGCCTCCTGCCAGCTGAGCTCTGCTCTGCTCCCCCTCAGGAGAGCTGTACCGGGTCTCCTTGAGAAGACAGAAGTTCCCGGCCCAAGGAAGCATTGAGATCCACGAAGACAGTGAGGTAGGCGGCTTTCTGAGGCTGTCGGGGCCCACCTCCGTGCTCAGGATGTAAGGCGGAGCCCTGGTGGACAGGCTGCCTAGTTTCCATCCGGCTCATCTGGCTTGCTGTGCGACCCTGGGCAGCATCTCCTCCTGCTCTGGGCTGTGGCTCTCAGATGAACAAGAAGGGCCTCCTGGGATCCTTCCGACCCAGACATTGAGGGGCTTGCCCTCCTGGCAGCCTCATCTATGGGGGCAGGAGAAATCCCTGACTTGGAGCTGAGACAGGCTGGGCACAGTGCCTGCTTCTCTGGCTGCAGGCCCCCCCCCCCCCAATGTGTGTGTGTGTGTGTGTGTGTGTGTGTGTGTGTGATTCATTGCGTTACCCCTCCCTGTCTCCCTGCTGCCTGTCTCTGTCCCCACCAATGTCCCTCCAGGAAGTCTTCTCCCAGCGCTCCTGCAAGACGCAAGTGCTCCTGCTGGTGCTGCACGGGGGGAACGTCCTGGACACGGGCTCGGGGGACCCCTCCTGCAAGGCAGCCGACATCCACACGTTCAGCTCCGTGCTGGAGAAGGTCACACGCGCCCACTTCCCCGCGGCCCTGGGCCACATCCTCATCAAGTTTGTCCCCTGTCCTGCCATCTGCTCCGAGGCCTTCTCGCTGGTCTCCAAGTGAGTCCTGTTCTGCTTGTTGGGACTGGCTGGCTGTTAGGGGGGGATTAAGTGGGGGGGACGGCCCCCTGCCATGTGGGGACTGGTGGGCAGGGGATACCTGCCCAGGCCTCTCTGGGATGTCAGGTCCTGACTGACCGTGGCAAGTGGTCAGCAGAGTTCCAAGCAATGAGCACTGTGCACTGAGTCCTCCTCTGCCCGGGACCAGGCAGTGCTGGCAGCTCAGGTCCACTTCCTGTGCTCACAGCCCTGGGTCTCGTTGGCTCAGGTGAGGAAGTTGAGGCAGTGAGAGGTTAAGCAATGCAGCTCCCCCAGCGTCACCCAGCGAATGGAGCCAGGAGTCAAACCCAGGCAGCCTCACTCCCAGGCCACGTAATGAGAGCCAGTAGGGATGTGAGCTCTAACGGAGGTGGCACCGGGCACTGAGGACCTCAGGAAGAGGGCCAGGGCGGCTGCCCGGAGGAGGTGACTGGCGTGTGCTGTGAGCGTAGCATAACGCAGTTCAGGGCGTGGGCTCTTCGGTCAGCCTGGGTTTGAGTTCCAGCTGTGTGACCCGGAGGGGGTGGGGGGCATTCAGCTTCTCCCTGTCTGCTTCCTCGTCTATAACTTGGGGATTCTCTGGAGAATAACAACCGCCCGAGTCTTTCTGAGGCTTCTGTGTGCTGGCCTGTGTGACGCACCAAGCGCAGCAGCGTGGGGCACGGAAAGCACACGGAGGGGGTGTGCGTGACTCACATCATGGTCCTCACAGGGAGAAAGCGCTCTCCCCATTGGTGGACAGGGGGCTCACCATCAGAGAACCTGGATGGTGGGGATAAGGCAGCACGCTTACCAGGCCTGGGCTCCTCATCCAAACCTGCCCGGTCCCTGTGGGGGATTAACAGGGAGACCAGGGGCCCACCAGGACCCAGGTGCCTGTGGGAGGTTCTGCCCACTGCCCCAGGCCCGGAGGACTCCGCTTCCCAGGTCCCTGCCCAGTACGAGCACAGCTAACGTGGGCACAGAAGGCCTGGCGCCCGCAGAGCACAGGTCTGATGGAGCGTGCGGCCAGCTGGGGACCTGCAGCCGAGAGCTTCGTGCAGTTAGGGATGAAAGGGAGGCCGGCACCTCTCTCCTGCCCTCACTCCCTTTCATGTCAACTCTGCCAGAGCCCGAGGCTTCTCAGAGAGGAGCCCTTAGCCACGTGGGGCTCGGGGAGGGTGGGCAGGGCGTCCCAGCCCCTCCCTCAGGTGTGGCCAGACAGGGATCAGCAGTGCTGGGAGGCGAGGAGACCGTGCCCAGAGTCCTGCGGGTGGGGAGCACCTGTGCGGGGTGTGCAGGCCTCACTCCTCTGGTCTCTGAGAGAAAGGGAAGTTGGCACCTGCAGGGGTGGGATGGGGCGGGAGGCAGAGACCTGTCTGATTGATCTGTGCTCCAGGACACGGCAGGGGGCAGGGCGATCTCATAGTTCCCCAGCGGGCGGCGGGCCTCACCCCTAGGGAGGGCCCTGGAATCTGCTTCTTCGACAGATTAATCGGCCGTGTCTGCTCTGCTGCAGGATTGGGGAGCTGGGTTGCCGTGGCTCCGTTCCCTTCACACTCCAGCAGCCCGAGTTAATTGGGCTCATTCATAATCAGTCTCAGGATTCCCCCAAACCCCACGCCCCCAGGACATCTGACCCCCAGAGCTGGGTGACCCAGCCCAGGCCTGATGGCCAGGAAGATGGATGACCTGGCCACTGGAGGGGACAGCGAGGGGGTGGCGGGAGGGAGCGTCCTTCTCCCCCAGGCAGCGCCTTGCCAGCCCATCCATCAGCCCTAATCACTGCTGGGAGAGAGCTCGTTCTCCCTAATTAAAATCTCTCCGGCTGCAGTCGAGGCCCGTTTCCTCTCATTTGTGTTCTTTGGAGATGAGGGATGGTTGTTAGGCTGGACTTGCACACCCTGGGGTCTCTGTCACCTGCCTGGGGTATCTGAGCCCTGTCACCTGTCCCCGGTGTCAACCTCAGGCAGTCTGAGCTTAGGTGATGAGGGAAGGGCAGGGGCTGGGTCGCCGTTGGACAATTCCTCCCCGTGTGGCCCCTGCTGGCCAGCTGGGTCCATTGGCCCAGGAGACAGAGGCAGGACAGGTGGGTGGGGCTGGGGAAAGGGTAGGCAGCTGGACCATGGACACACTATCGAGCATACAGCTAGGTCCCCCTACCCCCGCCCCCAAGCTGCGACATGCCTGGCAACCCTCTCTCTTCCTTTCGACTTCCCCAACAGCCTTCCATGAGACCTAGTTCAAACCCCACCTCCTCTAGGAAGCCTGCCAGGATGACAGTTGCCACTCAGATCCGCACCAGTGGCTTCTTTCATGATTGGGGGTTCTTTGGTGCCATGCAGAATAGGGCAGGAGAGAGCTGCTGTCACAGGAGACGCCAGGGCCCACATCATGGGCTGCTATGGAGTGGGCACAGGGGAGCCTGGAGTGGAGGGCCCAGTTCCCGGTCAGCACGTGCTCTCTTCTGCCCAGTCCGCAGCCCTTAACCCGCCCCCTACCTGATGCCGGTGGGCTCACCTTGGCCCCCTGTCTGCAGCCTCAATCCCTACAGCCACGATGAGGGCTGTCTCAGCAACAGCCAGGACCACGTCCCTCTGGCCGTGCTGCCCCTGTTGGCCATCTCCTCCCCACAGTACCAGGATGCGGTTGCCACCGTCATCGAGCAGGCCAACCAGGTCTACGCAGAGTTCCTCAAGTCCCCGGACGGCATTGGCTTCAGTGGGCAGGTAGGACAGTTGCGCCCACCTCCCTGCCTTGGCCCCACCTGGAAAGAGGCTTGAATCTGCCCCAAGGATCTAGACCAGGCTGGCCAGGAGCCATGGTGTCTGAGATCCAAGAAGGCTTTTAAGATCTTTGGGTTTGACCCCATTTTACAGATAGGAAGAGTGAGGCCAACTTCTGAGTTCTGACTGTGAGCCCATGCTGAGCCCTGGCCTCAGCCTGACCCTGGCCCCAGTCTGACCCCGTACCCCAGCCTGGTCCTGTCCTCCCCTGACCCTGGCCCCAGAATGAGCACCCCTCCCCCTATTGCAGCTCTCAGGCCTCCCTGGGACAGGCTCCTTGTTATCCAGGTGCCCTGGGTGGGTGTGGGGTGAGGGGTCAGCAGCGGCCAGGCCTGTAGTCCCAGCTGTGCCTTCTGCAGGTGTGTCTCATCGGGGACTGTGTGGGGGGCCTCCTGGCCTTTGATGCCATCTGCTACAGTGCGGGACCCTCGGGCGACAGCCCTGGCAGCAGCAGCCGGAAGGGGAGCATCAGCAGCACGCAGGTGCGGGACAGGGGCGGGCATGGTGGAGGGGTCTGTCCTGGGGAGCAGGGGCCTCTCTGAGGGCAGGACTGTTAATCCTTGACATAGGCACCACGAAATCCAGGTCACAAAGTATATATTGTATCTCAATCTCACAGGAGTAGCAAGAGACTACGACCACAGGGGAGGAAACGGAGGCCCAGGGGGGCTAATTTCGGGTCAGGTCCCCAGGTAGCTGCCCCGAGTCCCACTAACTCACCAATCCCTTTGGGGGCAGGAGACAGCCCTGTGACTAAAATCCCACCACGACTGGATGGCGGCTCTCATGCTTCTTTTGGAAGATGCGCTGCCTCTCACGTCTAGGAGGAAGGGGCTCCTTGTGGCTGGGGAGGAGGCAGGGCCCCAGAGTCCCCGGTGACTGCCGTGCCCTCCTGCCTTCCCCTCGGTCCCACAGGACACCCCGGGGGTGGAGGAGGAGTGCAGTCTGGCCAGCAGCAAGCGGCTCAGCAAAAGCAGCATTGACATCTCCAGCGTGTTGGAGGATGAGGAGCCCAAGAGGCCGTTGCCACGGAAACAGAGCGATTCCTCCACCTATGACTGCGAGGCCATCACCCAGCATCATGCCTTCCTATCAAGGTAACCATTCCCTGCGTCCCATCTTCCTTCGGCACAGCACCCGGAGCAGAGAGCACCTCGCTTAGCGTCCTAGGGGTGGCTCAGGACCAGCCACATGTCCCAGGTCTTTCCTGGGGGGCCCAGAGTCAAGCCTGAGCCTTAGGCTGCTCCCCATGGGCCCCGGGCTGAGACCCTGGGCCCTGCACTATGTCTCTGCTCCACCCCAACTTTCAGGGGGAGGGGACAAGCAGCCACACATCCCGGAGCCTCAGCCTTATCTTCTGCAACATGGCAAATGCGGCCCAGCCTACTTTCCTGGCGGTTTTCAGAATCTGGTGTGTGTTTTGTGAGCAACTCCAGGCGTGTGTTCTTACTGTTTCTCAGACGAGGCAGTAGAGGCCATGTCATTCAGGGAGGTTCCTGGGGCCACACAGCCAGGGACGAGAGCTGGTCTCGGCTGGTTCCCCAGCCCCCAGTCCCCAGCACCCTTTCCTCATCGGTGCCAGGGCCTTCATGGAGCTGCCCACCCTTTAACCTTCTAGAAGGGTCATGGTCATCGACACAGGCTAACTGAACTATCCGCACGTTGTTCAGGATACATACAAGTAGGCATTGAGCATAGACCCACATGGGAAGGAACGCCTCTTCTCTTTCTCCTCAATTCTTTCCTCCGTCGCTCCCTCCTTCTTTCTTACCCGAGTGATAAGTAGCACGAGGCCAGCTCAGCATTTGGGAAAGAGACCGCCTCACCACCCAGAGGGAACCATGCTAATGCTTTGGTGTTATTTTTGTCCAGTTATATATATATTTTTACATGCTTTGCAATTAGTGTTTCTTTAAAAAAAAAAACCCAAAACCACACACCTACCCTTATAGTGTGATCTTTCTCCTGTATAATTAAAAATACTTGGTAGAGCCCTAGCTCAGTGGATGGAGTGTCGGCCTGTGGACTGAAGGGTCCTGGGTTCCATTCCGGTCAAGGGCACATGCCCAGATTGTGGGCTCGATCCCCATTGGGGGGCGTGCAGGAGGCAGCCGATCAGTGATTCTCTCTCATCATTGATGTTTCTTTCTCTCTCTCCCTCTCCCTTTCTCTCTGAAATAAATAAAAATATATTTTAAAAAATAATAAAATGAAAATACTTGGTAGATAGCCTTAACAATATTTTATTGAGTAAACGGACACATTTACTTAATCCCAGTCATTGGACGCTTTGGCTTTTTCCAATTCTTCAAAATTATAAATAGCGCCCTGGTGACGACCTTCGTGCATCAACATTCATGTGCATATTAGGACTATTTTGTTTGCATGCATTCCTGGAGGAATTATTAGGTCAGAGGCGCTGCATAGTGAAATCTCTGGCTATTTAAAGCCCCTCCGACAGACGATTCTTTAAAAGAAAAGCAGTTATGTTTCAAGTCTGAGCTGCAAGGTAAAATCTCCACATTTCTAGTTCATCCGTGTAAAATCCTTTAAGAAAACCCCACATGTGCAGAGTGACAAGAAGTTGGAGGCTCTCAGTAGCTGGTCCGACGCAGCCAGCTTTTCCCTCTGGTGCAGGGACAGATGGCTGTTTCTTTGGCAATTAAGTAGTTGGCGGGTGTTTAGGGACCACGCTGTACATGGAAGACATATTGTTAAACGCCAGTCATCATCCTCACGGCGAGATGCTCACACCACCCGAGGCAGAGGCGTGTGGCGTGCAGGACCCTCGCTCACACCCTGTTCCAACTGTGATTCCTAAAAGTCCCTTTCTCTTCCAACTGGAGTATGTCAGTCAAATCTGCGTTCTATTAATTGACTCATCAATCACATAATCCAGTGATGGCGAACCTTTTGAGTCGGCATTTTGAAAAACCCTAACTTAACTCTGGTGCCGTGTCACATATAGAAATTTTTTGATCTTTGCAACCATAGTAAAACAAAGACTTACATTTTTGATATTTATTTTATATATTTAAATGCCATTTAACAAAGAAAAATCAACCAAAAAAATGAGTTTGCGTGTCACCTCTGACACGCGTGTCATAGGTTCGCCATGACTGACATAATCCCACGCGATTGTCTTAAACGCAAGGCCGCCAGCTGGAAGGTCAGGGAGGGCCCGGTTTTCCTGCCCGTCCCGGGCAGCCTGCTCTGGGCCTGTGGCTAAACATCAACTCGGACGCTTTGGGGGCACTGGGTGCCTGGGATGCGAGTGATCGGAATTCTGGGTCTGGCCGTTTTCTCTTTAAGCTCTGCTCCTCTGCAGGCGGGCGGGGCGGGAGGCCGGAGCTGTGTGCATCTGTGTCTGTGGGTTGCCTGGAACACGAGTTACAACGAGAGCCCTAATCTGGCAGGACTGACACTGCCCAGCTGGTCTGTGTCGTGGCCAGCTGGGCTTCTCTGGTAGCTGGGGCCGGGATTCACAGTGTGGCCATTACAGCCCCGGCACGAGGGGCAGGCCTGGCAGCGCGTGGGACGCTTAGTGGGCCCAGGTCCTCCGCCAGTTGCGGTGGATCGAGTTTCATTGGCCGCGCGGATTTGTTTAGGTGTCATCTGTGGCTGCTCGCGTGCTACACGGCGGAGTTAAGTAGATGTGATGGAGACCATATGGCCCTCAAAGTCTAAAATATTTACCATCTGGCCCTTT